GGAGTTTTGGTCAAATGATGCCATGGTTTGAGCGCTCCTGGTCAAACGACATGTGTTCATGATTTTCTAAGTGAAAATAAGTGAACACATCCTCTACAGAGCACACTTCTGCACACTTTAGTGCACAATTACTGTCCACTTACTAATTAACTAACACATTGGAAAAAATAAACCATTAAATGTGGCCTGTGCAAAAGTTATGGCACGTTTTATACTTTGCCATGTCCTGACATTGTATAAAAACAAGTCTGTGTGTGTGTATAGGTATTACAGGATGGTGAAACAGAGAAGGGCTTTGAAAAGCAATCAGTTCTAGTGTTACTAGATTGGGTGCCACAGTCCATGAGCCGGAACGCTTGATAAGGTGTAGGTACACTTTTAATCAATCTGGCAACCAGATAAATGTTTTGACTGCAGTGACAACATACACACACACTTACACATGTACGCACACTCTCAAATTAGCTTGTGGAACTCACACATAAAAACCATATGGCTTCATGAAGGGATACTGCTTCATTTGACGCAGAGTTCGCCTTCTTTTAGTTAACTGAAATTTTTCTCTTGGCAAAGAGAAACAGTGATTGATGCCTTCAGGAAAGTACGCTATAGAATTGTAGACAAAGAACGCACTGCAGTGAATCCATCTTTACTCTACGGTATGAATAAAGCACATAAGGACTCACCAAGCTTGTTCAAAACAAACCCAACTGACAAAGCTTGCTTGCTGCTGACCAACAGCTGTAAATGGAACTAAGGGTCCAATCAGCTGCCCCACACCTCAGCACTGGATTAACACCAAAATGTTCAGAGATTATGAAGTTTGATTTTAGGATCAAACTGAGATCCAAGTACGGAGTCATGTAAACATCTCCAGGAACAGTTTCCCAGACCAAGATTAAGTCCACAATTCATGTCCAGGAAAAGCAACATTTTTGAAAAGCAGAAAAAGCAACAAAATGTATTTTTCCTCTGCATTAACTTTTGCATTACCTTTGTACAAATATGTAGTGAATAAATAGCAAACACTATAAATATTTGCCCTGCTATGATTACAAAAATGCTATGAGTAACAAAAAGTAGCAAAATGACTAATTTTTCACTCATTTTATTTATTAAGCTTTAAAGTCAGACATTATTCTTGGTGTAATCTGTGGCTCCATTACTCAAATTAATACCATAATTAATAAAAATTATATTTAAAGTTCTTAAAATAAAACGTAGTTTAGTGTTCTTTAAATCTGCTTTTAGACTCTAATAACAAAACAGTTAATATCAGGAAGAATTTGTAACCGGAAATGTGAGACACTCATAATTTAGCTTTAACACTTTTTTAATTTGGCTTTAACGTTTTCTGGCTTCAACGCTTTCTCCACCCGTCTTCCGACAAGCCCCGCCCCCTGTGACTGGATTGGCTAGTTGATAACCCGGTCTCACCCGCTAGTAGTTCGAACTGCGAGTGTGAACTACTAGCCAATCCTAACGCAAGGGGCGTGGCTTGTTGGAATGCGGGTGGGAAAAAAACTTCAGTAACACAATAACTCGTAATAAATGCATGTTAGTCCACGCGAAGAAATAGCGAGAGCTAAAAATGTAAGAGTTATTATGTAGTTAAAAGGATCCTTTTTTAGTAAACACCAAAACAAGAGATAAAGGAAAACAGCATTACGGTGTAAACAACGTTACATTAATCTCTGGACATAGTATTTATAAAGAACATTCATTCGTTCATTCAATTATTTACGTATTTAATCCGTTAAGGTGACCGTCAATGTGCTGTCGCGCTAAAACATGATGGGGAATTAAATTTGGAAAATTATAAATCACCGTCTATTCAATTTGAGGTCACACTTTATTTTGATGGTCCCCCATAGATGATCTACAGATACTCATCTCATTAACCAACGTTCTGTTGATGCTCAATTGATTATCGAGAACATAGGTTTAAGAGCAGGTTTAGGTTTTGTGTTGAGGTTAAGGTTAAGTTTAAAAAGTTAGATTTAATAAAATCTTTCACACTCAACTTCAAGTTCAGTTGCATTGAATAGATATTTATTTGAATTTTAATTTAAGAGACGATGAGCATCTACAAAGCCTCTACAGTGGACCTTCAAAATAAATTGCTACCCAATTTGAAACTGCAGTTAAAATTCAGTGTACAAGCTTTGGATATTCACGCTTTCTTTTTAACTAACATTCAACTAAATATCTATTAAATGCAAAACTTTAAGTTGAATGTAATAGATTCTGTTAACTAACTCTCATCCTAACAAAACCTAAACTTGAGCTTAACGCTGTAGATAATCACCAGAAAGTTTGTTTACAATTTCAGCATCTGCAGAAAATCTGTGGGGCAAAATAAAGTGTAGGCCAATGTCAATAAAAGAAAATATATTAGCAAAAGATTTCATAATTAACCCACAAAACGTGGCTAATTCAGCTTAAACTAACCTTTATGTGCTGTGATTTATGAGTGTATTAAGCATTAATCTTTGGAAACGGACACTGATTTGAACTGAAGTTAAACCATTTAAAACCAAATTACCTCAGACACAGAGAGAATAGCATAGCAGTACTGCTTAATTTAATCCGGTTTTTCTTCGTCCACACCGTTAAAACCTTCTGCTCCGGTCACATGACAACGAGACCGGATATTTATGAAAGAAAAGAAATGTGAGTGTGAACCAGGTGCTTTTTACGTTTCGTTTCTTTCATAAATACCGAATTTCCTCTCACGTTTCCAGTGAAGGCAGCCTGAGGTAACAGTTAGAGGCTAATTATGTTTAGCCGTCAGACAAAACAGTAGTCATGAAAAAAGTCTGTGAGTGAGCTGGAGCTGCTGTTTTGGTAAGACTGAGGCTACACAGCGAACTTTTAACGTTTTATTTCTTTTATTCATACTCAGTTTTCACTCAAATTGACGTGAGGCTGTTGATAATAATTTCATTTAGCATTAGATTAGCCTTTAGGCTGTACGAGGTAGGTTTTAGTCACGAAACGATTCTCTGTGGCTTCACGGGGCGCTTGTAGCCACAAAATACGTCTGAAAATAGCATTTTTAGCATTTTAGGCCTTTACACATACTAAATTTTCAGACGTTTAAAATTTAGTTTAGCCATGAGACCAAAATATGAAGCTGCACCTGTTTTAGCCACAAAAAAGAATCTGTATAGGCTGAGCTAGCAACTGATTTTAGCCACTGTGAACATATGAGGTTAAACAAAGTATTTTTTCAGTCACATAATGAGTCTGAGGCGGAACACAGTGATACAAAAGGAGGCTGTGAGGATGAATAAGGTTCTCTTTAGCCAACAATTAATTTAGAGTGGATAAATAAGGTACTCTTTAGCTAAAAACGAGCTTGTGAATGCAAATAAGGTACTTTTTAGCCACAAAATGATTTAGTGGAGATGAATAAGATACTTTTCAGCCACAAAACGAGTTCGTGAGTGCTCTTAAATGAGGTGCTCTTTATCCATAAAATGGGTTTTTGAGTATGAATAAAGTATCCTTTGTTTACAACGCGAGTTTGTGAGGATGTGTAGGTAGTCTTTAACCACAAAGTTTTTGAGGTTATTTAAAGTATTCTTTAGCAACAATATCAGTGTGTGAGGATGTTTAAGGCACTCTTCATCCCACAAAACGAGTTTTTGAAGATGTAGGAGTTTTTGAAGGTACCCTTTATCCACAAAACGCATTTATGAGAACGTATAAGATATTCTTTATCCAAAAAAACGAGTTTGTGAGGATGTATAAGGTGATATTTACGAGATTGTAAAAGTGAATAAGGTGCTTTTTATCTGCAAAACAAGTGTTTGAACTTGAATAAGGTGTTCTTTAGCCATAAAACGAGTTTGTGAGGATGTATAAGGTATAATGAAGATAAATAAGGTGCTTTTTAGCCACAAAACGAGTTTGTAACAGTTACGTTTTGTTTATTTTATACGCATTATAGCATCGCTGATATTTAAAAATGAGCATACTTTTAATATTATCATCCTGCCCAGGGACTGCAGATTAAAAAAAAATAGCAATTGGGCTACATCTGGCACATTTACAGTATAAAATAAAGATGTTGATTAAGGAGTGCTGCCCCCGTTTAACAATATAGCAAAACTGTAATTTAGTCGTAAAACGAGTTGGTGACACAGACCAAGCTACTTTTTACTTCAGTGAAAAAGTGATTTTACTTCAGTAAATGTTATTTTGAAGATATTTAATTATTAAATGTATACTAAAAATGAAGGTAGGCTGTGACGTCACTTGTAATTTCATTTATCCGTGAAGAACGATGCCATGTTAGGCTGCTCGAGGTGCCTTTTTAGTCAGACTCATTAAAAGCAGCTCTCCTGAATAGATGAGTCCCTCTCGCGCTCGCCCGCGTGCTGCACTTCGGCGCTTTGGGCGCGAAGCGGCGCCTGACTGACGGAAATGGGTCAGTGGAGCGGACGGAGCAGCGCGCGCCGCGTTAAAGCACCTCACTAAAGCACGACTCCCAAAGTTTTCCGTCCACGCGCTCGCTTATTCCCGCATGCACACACGCGCGCGCGCGCGCGCGCTCTGGGCACTGCATTGCTACACTATATTAAACTCCCCAGCAGACAAACGCAGAAAACGCACGTGAACACAAGCCCTGCAATCGCAAGTTCTATTTTGCAACTACAAGGTCAAAATCCACCACGATTGCATCGACATTTCACAGTTGCATAAGGTGTTTTTTTGAGTTGTTGCTCGCGCTGGCATGCAGAGTGCTGCTTAACGGTTTCTATGATCTCTTTCAACGGGGTTCACTCCACTTGTACCCCAAAAGAACCCAGAGCTGCACGAGCACGCCACTGTTTTGTGGTGGTTTCTGCATCTATGGTCCAGCATCTGCTGGGCTGCTACAGTCCAGGAGGTCCAGGAAACCTCACAAACCTTTTTTTTTTCTTTTGCAAAAATGGCTTTTGCAGCGAATTCAATTATTCAAATCAGGCTGTCAGAAACAGTTGGGCTCCTACCTCGCATGGTGGTGGCGGTGGCGACTCGCTCCCAGTCATGAAGAGACGAAACGAACCCAAACAAGGGGTTTAAAAAACAACAACAACAGCGACAACAGCAACAAGAAGATCCCTGGCAACAGCAACAACAACGACCAAACTTTTTTCAAGCTCTTCTTCACGGCCCGGGCGGCAGGTTCGCGCGCGTGAGCATCCCGTAAACGCGGCGCGAGCGTGCGGACTCTCACGCGACCTGAACGGGCGCAGCGAGCCACGGAGGTTTTCACCGCTCGCGCGGGGCAGAGTAGGGGGCGGGGCACACGGTAGCCCCATTGGGAGCTCCGATTGGACGGACGAGCTCGACTCCGCCCGCTTTCGCGAGCCGAAGAGGGGTGGAGAGCACGGATTGGACGGCGGCTGGAGGCTCCGCCCACTGTCTGATGGGCACCTCTGGTTACTCAGTTGGGCGGTATTGGAGGAGGAAATGTGGATGAATTCGGCTCAGCATTGCACAATATTTCATATTTACAATGTTGGAGTGTTAGAGTTTATACACTATATCATATTTACTGTACTGAGTTTGTGGTCAGTATATTAATGGATTTTCTTTTGCACTTAAAGTATTATGTAAATTGCAGATTTGTCCCTCAGTAGATTAGAACTGTTGTGGTCTTATTATTATTATTATTATTATTATTATTATTATTATTGAAAAAATATTCATGAATTAAAATGACTGTCCAGTATGTGTATAAAAACCATCACCATGCATATAATAAAAGAGAGTTATCATCATTAAAAATTATTGGACTTTATGGGAATGGAACTCAAAACATGAGTAAATGGGTGGTTGGGTTATTACATATAATAAGAGGTGTTGATTATTAGTAATGTATGCTAACTATATCAATGGTCACAGTACTATTCTAAAATATTACACATAATGAATATAATGAATGTCGAATCCTTAATTTCAGGAAAAAAAATATACCATTAAGATAATCAAGGCATGTATTATGGTTATTATAACTTTCCATAAAGTGAGACAGGAGCAATAAAGAAACTGTAGAAAAAAAGACAACAGGATTTTCACAAAGAGACGTGGATGACTGTTAGGTTTTACTGCTGTAAATGGTGGCTTATTACAATATAGAGATACTAGAACTTCAGTGCAAACTGAGGAAATGCAGACTGGTGTTTGGTGTGTGACGACAGGCAGTGCAGGCAAGCCATGCAAGACATCCTCAACCCTTTGACCCACTAACCCGGGCAGATATGAGTGCGCTTGCCGCTGGATCCCAGATAGACCTGCTTCAGTTCCTCTTCAGGGGGCTCCTGTTTCAATTAGCTCAAGCCAGATTGAGCCAGGAATTGTATATCTCCATTGTATATCACTAAAATATTATTTAAAATACATAATCAGATGCAAAATATTAATGCATAGTATAGTGGATTCATTTGTAAACACCCTCGGTCAAATGAAATACTTTGTCGATGTTCTAAGTAAAAATAAGTCAAAACAATGTAGAGGATACATAGAACAAATTTAAAGAAGACATTTTTCTGCAAATATTACTGCACATCTATTGATTTGCTGAGTTTAACATGTTAGAAAGACATACAGTCAAACAGAAAGACAACAGTAATTGCACTCAAACTTTGGCATAGGACTGTATGTACCTAATTTGTCTATGATTTATAGAATGTATTTTTTAGGGTGAAGAGTGCTGCAAATAATATCCTCGTTGTGAATAACTGACAAAATCATTACATTTTCTGAAAACAGAACTCTTTTAAACTAGTTTATCAACATGGGTTTTGATTCATCTGGTCATACCGTGTTTACTTCAACCAAACTAAAACACATTCTGCTCCACTCCAAGTCTAGCCCATTTCTTATAAGACCTGGAGAAAAGCATTTAGTCTACCTCATCTTTCAATCACTCAGAACTAGTTAAAGGTCTAGTAACAAGCTGAACAATATCAAATACTTTTTGAAAGTACAGCAGGGCTTGTTTCATAGAACTGTATCATACTTTCACTTTGTCAACAGTGTCTTTTATATATGATATAAATAACAGGAGGCCTAAAATTGAGCCCTGGGGTACACCTAGGAATTTACAGACACACATTCAGTTCTGTCTGTTGAATGGGTCTGGATCCAGCTGCACACATTCCCATCCAATCCAATGCTGGGCAACGTTTTAAGCAGTAGTGAAGAGATCAAAGGTGTCAAATATGTTCGAAAGGTCAATAAAAAGGCCAATCTTGCCATGTCTGTGATCTAGAGAAAGCCGTATATCCTTAATAACAAGTGAGGTGCTATGACTGACTCTAAAGCCAAGCCACTAAGGGATAGAAAGGAGCGTTAGCAATTTGTAATCAGCTACGTACATAACCCATCATTGGTAACCTGCCTTGTCTGATTAAATAGCTTGTGGTAAAGGAGAGAATGGCAGTGAGTGACTTTGCCCATCTCCCATGTGTGTGCGTGGAGGGGGAGGTTGAGAGACAGAGCTATGGACCCATCCCGGGGTAGGCAGAGACAGATCGCCGCGAGCGCATCTCCAGTGACCTACATTTTACTCTTTCTTTTTTTTCATTTCCTATTTTCACTCCAAGAGCAGCCTCATAATTGTGATGTAATGACCAAATGACAATAAGCCAGACCGGTCAAATGGACGTTGTGGAGGCTTTATGCTGGAGAGACTAGACTGTCTCACACTGGAGGGGGGAAAAAAGCTTATTGTAAGCCCCTTCACAAAGGCCTGAGGTTTGACATTAAAGAAAAACTGTGTCACCTCACCTGTGAAGTTGAAAGGTTATTGTTTGCTGGCTATAGCATGCATCATTTTTTAAAATTTGAAGTGGATTTTTTTCTTTGGTGTGCTTTTATTGAAAGGCTTCAGGCTAAATGCGACCAGGGAGGAATTACTAAGATTAACAAGCCCACACATGGGGTTATGGAAATTGTTGTATTTGTACAGAGTTACATATGCAAAACAGAATTACAGTGAGAAATGAATGATTCAAAGATTGCCGAGGCCATATGGTGTCTAAAAGGCACTGAGGCAGAAAGGAATCTGCTGTGGCCTAGGGCCTTACTGTACAGTAAAGCATTTAGTATCAATGCTGGAGCTTCCTGTCTCTTCTCTTCTCTTCTCTTCTCTTCTCTTCTCTTCTCTCAGTCTCGCCACAATCTCACGGCTTTATTTTGTGATTTGTTGTGGGCTAAAATACTTGATTTTGCAGGAGATTTCGTCAATATTTGCTGCAATATTTGCTAGCCTTCATCCTCCCAGTTTGTTAGCATTGTGCAAAGGGGTAGATGTTTCTTGCGGGTGAAACTAGTCAATTTCCTTCCAATTTTTTTTCAGGAAAAGAGTTTTCGATGTTTTATACTGAAATGAAACAGTGGTAATACTTTACTGTAGGGGAGATTCATAAGGCCACATGACACCTGCATAAGGTTGTTATGACAATTGACTTAAACCTACATAAACATCTATAAAAGTTTATACCAAATGGCATTGTCTGTAATAAAGTCACCTGCCTAGAGATGTTACGCCAACTAGACATCAATGTTGTCTGTGTAACCTTTATGACAAATGATGTCTACTGGAATAAGTGCTTATAAATGTTTATGTAGGCCTATTTTAGTTGTCATGAAGGGCTTACGTATGTGTTAAGTAGCCTTATGAATGCTGTCTTACAGTAATGTGCTTCTAAAATGACATGTATATAAAAAGATCGGTAACACTTTTTCTATCTAACAAAACATGTTATAATGCATTCATAAGGCATCATAAACATGGCCGTAAATATGTATAAAAATGCATTACACTTTATGGCCATGTTGATCATGCATTATGAATTGTTTACACCTTATAAGTAGTGTTCATAACATGCTATATTGTGCAAAGGAAACCCCCAAATTTGTAGAGTGCATTATGACTAACAAACCTGCCTAGTCATAAACACACACAGAATATATACTTTTCATTATAGCTATAGATAATATGCCATTAATAGACATAATATTATAACCCCATCATAAGAGCTTGTAAGTGTTATTTGTCAGTTCTAAGTAAAATTAGGCACGCTGTATCAACGCTTTCTCCAATATAATGAATGAGGCTTCAAGTTATTTACTGATGAGTTTACTGAGACACTGCAACATACAAGTAAAGTATGTCTTACAACCTGTAAGACAATGGAATGTGTAATGTATTTGTATGCATTTTGATTGGCATGTTTGTAACGTCTTTTGAATGCATTATAGTGTGTCACAAATGTGTTCAGAGGGGCTCATAGACCTAGCAGGGCCAAAGCTCCATGAACTGCCTTGTGGCAAAGGTGGTATCCTATGACAGTGCATTTAAAGTCAATGAGCTCATCAGTACAACCCATTCTACTGCCAATGTTTGTCTATGAAGACTGCATGGCTATGTGCTTGATTTTACACACATTAATAATGGATACAGCTGAAAGACCTACACTCAGTAATCAGAAGGGGTGTCCTCATACTTTTGGCCATGAAGTGTACATCACCCCCTCATCCCCTCCCACAAAACACTCACTCGACTCCACTCCATGCATAACTGTTATGTACAAAATAACATGCATGAAGGCATAACTGCATAAAACTGACAACTATATCATCTAGTCAGGTTCTCACGTCCATTCAATGAATGTAGTACTATGCTTTAAAAATAGCATCAGGAGAACTATTACAGCAAGCCCTGTTTTTAAGGTTAAACCACATTCGCGTCACTCCTTTGCCCTTGAATCAACCATCAGGAAGTTAACTTCAATATAATTAGATAAGTTTCTATTGAAAATAAAAATTAGGGCACGTTTCCTCCAAGGGACCACCCCTTAACTCTCAAATGACATGAGCCTTTTTTATTTTACTCTGGAAACAAGCAGGTGTTTGTGCAAGTGAGCTTTTTTCCAGCAACAGTGAGAAATTTGATGTCTCATTCATGACTGTTTTCTGCCTGTAAACAAGAGCTTCAATAACTTTATGGTTATTGTCTTCATATACAAATCAGTTGGACTTTGTGGAAGTATGAAACAAATACACTGCACACAATGAATCTACATGATAGATCAAAATATCTCAACAGACATCATGCTAAGACTTAATGAGAAGGATCACCAATAGTATCTGAAAGAGAGAGAGAGAAAGAGAGAGAGAGAGAGAAAACGAGAGAGAGAGAAATAAAGAGAGAAATACACTTGAGAAATTTATAGAGAGATACCGACCACAAGT